CCCTTTCTCCTGCTTTTTGCCTATCTCCAATTTAGCAAGAGGCTAGCAAGTCTCATCAAGAAACCAAGGAAAGTGAGTATAAGAATTTTCTCCTTTTAATTTTTCCATTAAATACCGCAAGTTGACAAGAAGCCAGTGTCCAGCAGCAGATGGGAAGGATGTCCTAGTGACTGGGCAGCCGACCTGAGACCCAGGATCAATGTCCAGTTTTGCTGCATGCTTCCTGTGTGACCCTGAATATCTCACTTAGTTTCTGTGCCTCAGTTTCCCATCTGTAAATGGGAATAATAGCCCTGCCCTGCCTCAGAGGGGCATTGTGAGGATACAAACCTTGCATATTATGAGGTACTCAGATATTGTGCTGATGGGGGCCCAATAAGATCTCAAATAGATAATTTTCCCAGTTGATTGTATCATAAATAAAATGTAGAAGTATATGCATCACTGCAGACTCTGACTTTTGCCCCTTCCCACATTCCTTTCAGTAGGACATGAGTGCTGTGCTAACTGTTTAGTTCAAGCTATATTACAGGTAAATATTACCTATAAATGTTCTGGTCCTACCATTTGTTCTCCAATTTGCACACAATTTCCACACCTAATAAAAGTAAATGTCCTCTTCATTTAATAAACAGCAAACTAGTCCCAGCTCTATCCCCATCATGCCACTTGGATACTATAGAAAGATAACTCTGAAAATCCCATTCTATAACTAGCCACTTACAAACAGACACAAAACAGGACAAAATGGCTCTTAAACTACTTTTCCCTGAATACCACTGGTCTGGGGGTAGGAATTATGTCCTCTTCCTAGGAATTAAGGTTTCATTCAGCCATACCTGTGGGTTACTTTGTAGGGGAATGCCTACTGGAAGAAGAGCACCTGAGATGGCAACTTGGTTCTACCTCTCACTGATCATACTGTGACGTAATCGAACATATGGACCCCATCAACACCACCACGCTAAGGTGGTTCTTTGATGATCAGCCCCTAGTTTGGGTTACTCTACAGAAATAACTCTTTTGATGATGTCTCTCCAATCCATGGAAAGAGCAGGCTTTTCAAGCATCTCTCTTGCTCAGTGTATCCCTCGTCTCAGATTAGGGTCTGTGTGTTTCCTCTCACACCAAAACAACAGAATGCAGGACAATGTAGCACTTTAAAGACTAACAAGATGGTTTATTAGATGATGAGCTGAGGAAGTGGGTCTGGCCCACGAAAGCTCATCATCTAATAAACCATCTTGTTAGTCTTTAAAGTGCTACATTGTCCTGCATTTTGCTTCAACTACCCCAGACTAACACGGCTACATTTCTATCACTACAAAACAACAGAGACTTTGTTGATTAGGGAAAGGAAGAATAAAACTGCACCTGCCCATTTCTTTGCAGTAACCTTAGGATCTCAGGCTCCAACCACCTCTTTCTGGCTTTAGTCTCCCAACCCGTGTGACTTTATTTTTAATCAGTAGGAGGAGTGGTAGGAGCAGTGATACAGTTTTTTTCTCCTGTCCATCTGCTATTGATACCTAGCACTCTGGGCAGCGGTTCCTAGGGGCAGGGCCGCGGACAGGCGCCTGGCCATGTTCCCGCTAATGTGCGCGCCGGAGCGACCGGCTG